GCCTGGGTGACAGCTAATTCCCATCTCCTTCTTCATCTACCGTAGATTTCCTTGATTTTGTAGCAATAAACCACTGGAATGTTTTGAAAATTTCAATACAGTCAGACTCAACTACACAGTCAAGGCTTTCAGGCACATTAGGTATTCACTGAATGTTTTTTAAAGAAATGAATCAATAAATAAATACAGCTTACACCTAGATGTTCCCACCCCTCCAAAAAGAGAAAGTCTTTGTTCAGATCTTGTATTCTAAGAAAATGTTATAATTAATTCGGCATCCAATAAAATTCTGCTTTTTTACTGGATCGCAGTAACTAACAAGCTTTAAGATCAGGGGTTCTGTTTTCAGTTTTATATCAACCTGCCTGAAGGACCAAGGCTTGGCGAGAAACAGTACCGCACAGTGGGGAAGAACATGAGTTTTTAGTCAAACCGCCTGCATACCAATCCCAGTCCTCCTCCTTTACTGAGGTAAAGTTGCCACACCCATTCTAAGTCTCAAGTTCCTTCTCTGTAAAATGGGGATGATAAAAATGGTACCCACCTCATAGGGTTGTCATGATATTAGGTGATGTTAACATAATTACAGAGCTTAGCACACTGTCCGACACATGATAATTTCTCGGTGAATGTCAGCTGTCTTCACGGTTAACATGCAGGAATTAAGAGGCACTGAAGATTTTTACTTGCAATTGCATTAGTTTTCAGTGGCCACCCCTGCAAAGTACCACCAATTGGGTGGCTTAAAACAACAGAAATCTATTCTCTTACAGTTTGGGGGTGGAAGTTGAAAATTAAGGTGTTATCAGGGCTATACTTCTGAAGGCTCTAGGGGAGGGTCCCTCCTGGCCCCTTCCAGGTTCTGGTGGCCCAGGCGCAGGTGGCTTGGGGCTGCACCACTTCAATCTCTGCCTGTGTCTTCATGTGGACTTCTCCCAGTGTGACTGTGTGTCTGTGTCCTAACCTCTCCTTGTAGGGACACTCTCATTGGATTTAGGGCCACCCCAATCCAGTATGACCTCGCCTTAATTACATCTGCAAAGACCATGTTTCCAAACAAGGTCACCTTCTAAGGTTCTGGGTGGACAAGAATTTGGGGGAGGTGGACACTATTTAACCACTATAGCATTTAATTACAAAAATTAAACAAAGAAATTGTTGTAGCCTCTATAGGTCTGTGATTTTGCCTCTCGCTTAAAAACACAGAGAAGGTACCGAGAGAATTTGCTTCTAATTATGTTGCTAATTTCTGCTTAGAAATAAAAATGAGGTTGATAGTCGTAACATTTTCCAGTGTTTTGGGGTTTGACTAGCTAAGAAGAAATGGGCCTAAAGAGCAAAAACTATCATTGGCATGGCCAGGCAACTAGCCATTTGGTCCCCAGTGTAGGTCCCCACTAATCCTGGGGATGACACACCAGACCCACAGCTGAGCCTTCCACACAGGCCAGGGTGTTGCTCTGTTTCTAGAGGCTTCCTCAGCCTCAGCCAATGGGCTGCTAAGGAATTCCGCGGTTGAATGGAGCTGTGTCAGCTGAGTTAATCGCCGCTGGGCAGTGGGCCTGTGAAAAGATGGGCCACCACGGGCTTCTGCGGACCGATGATGTGACTGGCTCTATGTTCTGGTCAGAGGTTTCCAGGCTGCCCTTGTATTCCTTGCAAAACATGAACTCCCCCAGCCAGCGTGCCTATTAATAACGCAGGGAGCCCTGGGAGAGCTAATGCCTGAGCTGGTGATCAAATCTTTATAGATTCATTTGAAGAAAGGCTCTGGGAACCTCCTTGATGAGAGGCTAGAGGAAGGCAGAAAGATGTTTCTCGCATATATAGATTTGCTGGCAGGGGATCGTGAGTCAAGGTGCATCCTCTACGAAGCAAAAGAGAGTCATCAGGTGGGACCTGCGTGAGTCCAGCCCTGTCCCCCTGAGCTTAACGAAGTGGCAGCACATGGTACTTTGATTTACAAATGCAACCATATATTCATTCGAGAGAGAGAAATAGGGAAAGTAGGTAGGGAGTATGGAAGGATAGAGACAGAGATAGATGTTGAGATAGTGTGTGCTCCTGGGGCGTGGGGGACGGAGACTGAGAGAGAGTCAGGGAAGGAGACAGATGGAGATGGAGGCAGTGAGGACAGAGAGAGGGAAGAGGGAAAGAAACGAGGGAGGGCAGGAAGAGAGAGAGAGATCGAAACAGAGAATTTAGATAGTGTGTGCCACCATCCCCCTGATGACCTAATACCAGGGGAGACGCCTGGCTGATTTGCTCCCTTGGGCTACACTGGGTCCTTGCCTGTCCTAGTGTGTGCCTTGCACATGGCTGAGTGTGACGCAAATGTCTCAAGGTTTTTATTTTCATACAATTTGGCCCCAACATGGCAATCCCTCCTCCAGGGCTCGCATGAAGGATGAAAAATTGAGCTCTGTTAAATGCAGAGAGATGGAATTTTCCAGGCTAATTTAATTTTATGCAATTTTCACCTGAGACGCTACTCCACTCCAGACAGTAGGGTCAGGTGGTATAGAATCTCTGGTTCATAACTAGACATTTTCTAAACAGAGACAGTTGAACCTTGAATGCCAGGGGTAAGACCTCTGCCTCTTAGTACTGTTCTTCCCCAAAAGAGGAACAAATGAGGAAGCCAGAGGTAATACGCTATTGTATAAAGAGTAGAAAATATAGTAAAAGAGAAGTGAAAGTAAATACTGGTGTTTTTACCTCCCCTAGAAATGATGGCAGTCAGTATTTTGGTGCATTTTCTCATAGTTTGCTTTCCTCGTGTGTATGCGTGTGCATGTGTGTGTGTGTGTGCACACGCACGTGTCTGATTTTGTGTAATCAAGGTGTCCCTGGTATAGCGGGACCTGCTTCATTCACTTAGCAAAATGTCATGAACACTTTCCACATCTACAAGCACAGACCTGTACGTACTATTGATAGGACGGCCCACGAAGGATTTTCACAAACTCATTCTTTGGCAGATGACGTGCCCACTTTTTCTAAGAGGCTGGTTTTTTTGGGTGCAGCCCCTCTATGAGGGTGTGGTCACAGGAGACCCTAGGAGGGTCTCTACCTAGAACAGGGGGCACCTGGCTGGAGGCCTCACTGGGCACATCCCTGGCCCAGGAAGGAGCTTGCAGACGAAGCTTTCCTGGACAGCTTCGGGATTCCTTTCAACCAGAACTACCATCATTCTCCCCAAGTCAAGTGGATACTTACGTGGACTCAGAGGGATGCCCACGAATACTTTCCCAATATGTTTTGCAGTTTTTAATTTTTTTTTTTTTTGTTAAAGCCACAGATTGAGTCAAATGTAAACTCATCCAGGTAAGCAGATATTTAGAGAATATTTAGGTGACTTTTGTGTAAACTCTTTGAAATAATGTCAAGGGAAACACACAAGCTTCATTTAACTTTATCTCTAACATTGGCCAAGCTGAAGGGTATATACCCCTGCCTTTATATTTGTGAATATTGCCCATTAACCCCCGGAAGCTTTGTATGAGCCACTATGTTTAACCCAACTCTACAGGGATCATGATTTTCTTTAGATTGGACCTTCTGTAGTGGAATCTCTCAAGCATTAGGACTGACTTGATTGCATTCAGACATCTCTTTGGCAATGGAATGACTGCATTACATGAGCATCACGCACAATGAATGGTAATTGTGAGACTGTCATTTCTACAAGTGCAAAATTAATGTGTTCTGCAAACCCATCCCATTGTGTGCCACAGGAAAATCCTGGAACCATGTTGTTCGGAGCAGAAAAAAGCCCTGTAATAGGGCCGTTAATGTGGTACGGTATTATTCAGCAATGCTGTTCCTTTCCACCTCTGTTGTTGTCTCACGCTCATTCTTCAAGCCCTGCCTGACCTCATTTGTATGCTTATATTGCACCTGGCCAGACAGTAGCCTGGATGTACAGAGAATGTTATGGAACAGTTCCTCCTTCTGTGCGGCATCTTGTGTGAATAATGTCAGCATAAACCACTCTCCATGTATTCATGAGAGTATGAATAGGCTACTTATGTAAAGCTGCTTATTAAGAGATATACCAGCCATTTACAGGAAACTTTACCCAAATACTATACATTCATTGAGAAAGAAAAGAGTGATTTACATGCATGTCAGTGGTAGCTTAGGAAAAGCCCTGCTCAGCTGCGCTCCATCCCTCTTGTTTACATATGGGAAATGAAGCCACGGACCAGTTGAGTGCATTTCTTCCAGTTACGTGGGATCACAGGGTGGATCTTGAATGACAACATGCATATGCATTGGGCTCCCGTAGTCTGCTGATTGGCTCTGCAGAATTTTTTAGGGATTAAAGGACTCATCTGAGCCTGAAAGGATGAACTAGTAACAGGTGCTCTAAGCCAGCTGATTAGATGTGGAATCTCACTACGCCTGCCATTGGGCTAAGGCCGAGGACCACTCAGAGAGGCATCCTGTATAAGGACAGTAATAATGATAGTGACAATAACTGGCCAGACAGGTTTCCCTGTGAGCCCGGCTCGAGCCCAGTCTCTCGACAGCAACTAGGGGCTGGGTGGGCGTCTGGACTGCTGGGCTCCCCTGACGGATTCATGGAGCACTCCATCAGTCTGCGAGCACGCCGACCCCTCCTGGCCTCCCTTAGTGGGAGGGTCAGGCCTGAGTCCCCTTTCAGAGGCCCCTTACGTTGTCACTCACGTCAAGGTGTGACGTGGCTATTTGCTCTGGAATATTCTAGTCAGTGCACAGTCTGCTGGAATTTGGGTGAAATTACACACACACACACACACACACACACACACACACACACCCCAGAGCTTCTCTCATCTTAGTGAATGACAGAGCTCAGGGGATGATTTAGGAGACTTCCTACCTAAGGTGGGAGTGAATTCTGAACACCTTAGACTCAGAACAGAGCACAACGGGGACAGGTGCAGAATCACGGCATAGATGACTTGGGCGTAGAGAGAGGTGTGAGAACGCCACGGAAACGGGCTCTGCCTTACCTTTGTTGCAAAATGTGCCATCGTAGGCCGTGTGGGAGCAGTCACAGGAGTAGCCGTGGTATTTCTCTAGACACCTGCCTCCGTTCTCACAGTTGGCCCCGTAGCTGGTGCAGTGGCCCGAGCACCCGGATTTGAACCCGGACGTGACCTTCGCTCTTTCCTCCAGGTCCAGTGTCACGCCGTTCATCCTCAGGGAGCGGATGCAGCCAAGGAAGCCCTGCTGGCCCCCGGCGCCACCTGCAAATGACAGAAGGCACTGGGCTCAGACGGAGTAGGCTCTGCTGTGGTCCCCGGGCCTGTTCATCGCACCTGGACCCGTGGTGGCAGGGGAGGAGGCCACAAAGTGCCACCAGCCCTCTCGCTTTCGAGCGGGCCCTGCCTCATAGAAAAGCTTGAAGCTTTTCCCCCTTTGGCCGTAATGTCCAATTAAAAGAGGCTGTCTTCGGAGAAGCCATCCATTTGCTACCGAAATAAAAATGTTTGGAGATCCACAAAAATTATGTATGCTGTTTTGGAAGTCTAATCTGGTTTCCTAAAGAAGTTTATATAAATCTCTAGTTTGTTGTTGTTGTTGTTGTTTAATCCCATGGCATTCACTTCCATAGCATTAGCTATTGAAAGAAATATACAAAGGCAGAGAAACATGAATATATTAGCATAGTTAACAAGTCAATTAGTTGGAAAGCATAAATCCATTTGAAATGTGATTGTACATCCCAGTTCTTGTCTTAGGAAATACTTCGCTTTGAAGTTCACATGAAGGGTTCCCGGGCGTCTCATCCAGGGTGGGCAGAAGTTGGAATTGATAATTTTACACAGAAGTCAGCCACACCACATGGATTACCAGCTCAGGTTAGATTTTACTGCTTTTTGCCTAAATGCCATCGCAAGACATACAGCACAACGAGCAGGTTCTCTGTGATTTTTCTAAGTTACAGAGTTAGAGGTTCATGAGCATGAAAATATTAAAATATTCCTAACAAATTTCACAGAAAGATTCATTGGAGCATTATATCACAAGTGAATTTAATTATGTCTGTAATAATCTTGGCTATGACCTTTTTAAGCAGCTGGTACAGAAGGACGAACTCGTTTATATACATGTCTGTATGTTAGGGTAACAAACTTTTCTGGAAATTAAATGTGTAGTCGTTAAAATTATTAAAAGAAATAACTGCTGGGGATTTAGCAAAAAAATACTGTTAATAAAAGTTACTTTTTTATGAGGGCTATGTAGTAGGTACTCCACTAAGCACCTTACTTAAATGTTATTCACCCGATTCTCACAACAGCCTGGCGAGGAGGTATTATTATAATTACCCTCATTGTAGAGATGAGGAGGCTGAGGCTCAGGGAAGCTCTGAGGTTTGCGCAAGGAGTCATAGCTCCAAAGTGACGAAGTTGTGCTAGTTCCTATTTTCAAGTGTATGGTGTTAAACTCTGTCCTGTGTTGACTTCAGGGTCAGGGCCTCCATCGATGCACACGTTTCTGAGATAGAGGTCTGGATGTCTTTAAAAATGGAGTGGTCAATAGGTTTGTCAGTGTTTGGGTGAGACCAGTAGCTGGGGATGGATTCTGATCACTTATTCGGGTCCATTGAGAAAAAGCACACATGGAGCAGACTCATCAGACAGGGCTGGTGGATCAAAGGCTCTAGTTGCAGAGATGGATTCATTTGCTTATGTGTGTAAGTCCTCAGCTGTGAAATGGCAGCTGTTATCTTTATAAACCCAAGCCTTGCATTCTCTCGTGGAGTTGTACGTAGGTTTGAATGATGATTCTCCAGGGATTATTATTTATTATCAAATAAAATAATTGCATAGAGGATTAATTGAAGGGAGTCCAGTGCCCTTTTTGATCAAAGCTATGGGATAGTGGTTGGCAGAAGAAGCTATTAAAAACAACCACTTTGAAGGATTTCCCATTCTGCAGTCTGCTCGTCAGCTCAGCTTCGTACACCTCTGTGCTGAAGAGAATTTGGGCCTTTGCTATGATTTGGAAGAATTTCAATCCATTAGTCACTCTTTGTGTGTTAAAATTTCAATTTGGCGTCTATCATTTTAGTGACTATGGCTTTTGCTCTTGCAATAAGGACTTTCCAAAGGGCCTTCTGTTCAATAAACCCCCAGCCCTTCATATTTTTGTCACTAGTCAATTAAAACAATTATATCCTACCAAAATACGCTGAAATTTTTAATCATTGTTTTTAGATATCTCCCGCTCCCTCTTTTTCCCTATTACAAATATAATAGTTTTTCATTGTGGAAACCATAAACACACTGGTAAGCAAAATGAAAAAGAATCTCTAACGCTACGCAGATATAACTACTTTTACTTTCAGCAAACAACTTTTTCTACCTTTTCTACCAGATTTTATTTATTTATTTGACAGAGACAGAGAGTACAAGCAAGGGGTGCAGCAGGTGTGGGGGAGAGGGAGAAGCAGACTCCCCGCTGAGCAGGGAGCCCAACGACCTGGGGCCCTATCCCAGGACCTCAGCATCATGACCTGAGCAGAAGGCAGATGCTTAATGACTGAGCTACCCAGGCGCCCCTGAAGAAGAGATTTTTAAAAGACTAAGTAAAGGTTAATAAGACAAAAACCCTGAAGATTTTAAAAGGTCCAACTGGCAGAGCAAATAAATCGAGGTTAGATCATATTTTTACTATATCATTAAGGCAATCAGATATATGTATGCACTTCATTATTTATGTATATAGGCCTCATTCTACAAGGGGTTAGAGGGGGTAGATTTTTCTGCCTGTCTTTGATTCTTTCTGGTCTTGGTCTTCCTGAGGCTCTACACCTCTCAGTCTTCCTTCCTGCCTCTGGGTCTGTATATCTCTCCCCGCCAGCACTGTTTGGCTGTTCAGGGTTAGTTGTGTGGCTTTCCTCAAGGTCCTTCATCTCCCTCAACATCAGGCTTTCCTATCCATATAAAGGGGGTTTGAACTAGATTCTGTCTCCGGTTCCTTCCAGCTCTAAATTAGTCTGGTTCAAGATGTACAACCTCTCCCTCTGTGCTTACGTGTCTCCGTCTCTATATTTCAGTAAATTACTCTCAATTTCTCCTAAATCTACTTCTCTGCACTGTTGCCTGACCCTTCCTCCTCCCCTCCTTCTGTTAATTGACCATAAAATATGACTGTGGTCTAATTTTTAGTTGTTGCATTCATTAAATAAAGTTTTGTACTCCCTTTTCTTAATTTATAAAGCAGGTAAATGGCATTTCATTTCTCTCTCTCTATAAAAGAAAACGAAATAAAGTATGCTCTTTTCTTGCTGAGATGGCCTCTGATTTATTAAATGGGTCAGTGAGCTGGAAAGTACTTTTTACTGATTTAGTCGATATGAAGAAAAGTCTTTTGTCCTGAAAATGGTCATTATATGTTATGCAAAAGATGTTAATGCACTAGAACCGGTGATAATTACTTGAGTTCAACTCATGTGCTCTATAGAAATGCTTCTTGGTGACAAATGTCACAAGTTTAAATTGTAGGTCTGCAAGCAAAAATGCTGCTTCACCTTTGCTAATTAAAAAATCAACACATTGTTGGGGTGCCTGAGTGGCTCAGTCGTTAAGCGTCTGCCTTCGTCTCAGGTCATGGTCCCAGGGTCCTGGGATCGAGCCCCGCATCAGGCTCCCTGCTCCTCGGGAAGCCTGCTTCTCCCTCTCCCACTCCCCCTGCTTGTGTTCCCTCTTTCACTGTGTCTCTCTCTGTCAAATAAATAAATAAAATCTTTA